GGGCCGGGGCCAGGCAGCACCTGGAGGTGAACCTGGAGAACGGGATCCTCTTCGTGAACGAACGGATTGACCGGGAGGAGGTGTGCGAAGCCGGGGGGACCTGCCTGCTCCACCTGCAACTCCTCGTCGAGAGCCCACTGGAGCTCTACCGCGTCGAGGTGGAGGTGCTGGACATCAACGACCACGCGCCCACCTTCCCCTGGCAAGAGTATGTGTTGGAGGTGGCCGAGTCTGCCGTGCTCGGTGCCCGCTTCCCACTGGAGAGCGCCCAGGATCCTGACGTGGGTACCAACTCGGTGCACACCTACCGCCTCAGCCCAAACGCTTTCTTTTCGCTCGAGGTGCAGACACGCAGTGACGCCAGCAAGTTTGCAGAGCTGGTGCTGGAGCGCGCCCTCGACCGCGAGCAGCAACGCGCGCACCGGGTGCTGCTCACCGCGCTCGATGGCGGTGTCCCCGAGCGCTCAGGCACAGCTCACATCCTCGTCTCCGTGCTGGATGCGAACGACAACGTGCCTGCCTTTGACCAGCCCTCGTACGGCGTGAGCCTTCCTGAGGATGCCCCTGCCGGCACCCTGGTCATCCAGCTCAACGCCACTGACCTGGATGAGGGCCCCAACGGGGAGATCGAGTACTCCTTCAGTGGGCACGCACCGCCGCGCGTCCGGGAGCTCTTCCACATAGAGCCCCGGAGCGGGCAGGTACTGCTGAAGGGGCGCCTGGACTACGAGCGGGCAAGTCTCCACGAGCTCTACGTGCAAGCCAAGGACCGTGGACCCTCGGCTGTGGCCGTGCACTGCCGGGTGCTCGTGCACCTCCTTGATGTGAATGACAACGCACCAGAGGTGACCCTCACCTCTGTGTCCACGCCTGTGCTGGAGGATGCCCCACCAGGCACCGTCATCGCTGTCATCAGCGTTCTGGACCGGGACTCTGGGGACAACGGGCGTGTGAGCTGTGAGGTCGGCCCCGATGTGCCCTTCGAGCTCCGCTCCTCCTTCCGCAACTACTACACGCTGGTCACCACACAGGCGCTGGACCGGGAGGCTGTGCCCGAGTACAACGTAAGCATCACAGCACGGGACATGGGCTCCCCCGCCCTGCTGACCCACAGCACCCTCACCGTCCCAGTGTCCGATGTGAACGACAACGCTCCACGCTTCCTCCAGCCCTCCTACAGCGTCTATGTGATGGAGAACAACGCGCCAGGTGCTTCCATCTGCTCCGTCAGCGCGCTGGACCCCGACTGCCAACAGAATGCCTACCTGTCCTACTCCATTGCTGATGGGCACATCCATGGCATGCCTGTGGGCACCTACGTGTCGATCAACTCGGACAGCGGGCACATGTATGCCCTGCGCTCCCTCGATTACGAGCAGATCCGCAGCTTCCAGATCCAGGTGCAAGCACAGGATGCAGGTTTCCCCCCACTCAGCGCCAACGTCACCGTCCACATCTTTGTGCTGGACCAGAATGACAATGCTCCGGTCATCGTTTCCCCCATGCCGCGCAACGGCTCCGTGGCCACTGAACTGGTGCCGCGATCAGCCAGGCCTGGCTATCTCGTGGGCACGGTGTCGGCGGTGGATGCGGATGCAGGGCTGAACT